GATCTGTTGGAGTGTGAGCAGGGTAATATTTAGTGAAGGGATTCAGGGAAACCGGTTATTTTCATATAGTCGGACTTGAGTCCTGGAAATGGGAAGTACAATGCCTGCACTTTAACCCTTTATCGGGCAGAGGCAGTTTTGACTGCCTTTAAACACGTGCACCTTTACGTGTGTCATCCTACTCGTGCTGCGCATCTGGATTCCCTTTCTTTAATTCTGACCAATCAAAAGCCTTCCCTGAGTCGCTTCAGCTAAGTGGTGATGGCGTTTGCCGCCTTCTCATTGGTTGAGAGAACAAAATGTAAACACTTGTGGCTTGGCGTCGCCCATAGTGGGTTTTTTCCATCTAGTGTCACTAATATACTCTTGGATTTTACCCTCTACAATGTCAGTAAGTACTGAATGTTGTGTTTAGTGTGTACATGAATAGTTTAGGCATATTTTGATATATACTTAAAGTCCATGTGAAGCATACTGTGAGTGTAGCATGCAGTTGAAAAAAGTGCAACAAAAGAAGGGCAGTCATAACTGCCTCTGCCCGAGTAGGGACTTAGTCCACTTTCAGTAAAATAAATATTTATAAAAAAATTTCTACTGCATATATGAATTCGGTAGGTGTCTGGATATATACAGAACGTTTTTACTGTCCTTCCAGATCAATGAGAAATTGTTTTATGGGGAGCCCTCCAGCACCAGGTCAAAATATGTCTGCATTTTGGATGACAGTGACTCAGAACCAGAGGTAGATGACCCTGAATTGCTTGATAGTGGTGATGAATACTTGCCACCAGACGCAGAGGTGTCGAGTGAAGATGAGGAGGAAGAAAGGCCAGCCAAAAAGCAGAAATTAGTCAAGAAAAAGAGAGGCATTACGATTGAGGAGTACCCTGATGAGGAGCATATTTATGATGATCTTGCTCTCCAAGGTGAACCTAAGTGGTCCCAGGTTGACCTCCAAAATAACCCTTTGCCGGCATATGAACATGAAAAGCCTCTTCAAATTAGGTCTCCATATCAGTATTTTTGTGATTTCTTTACTCCAGACATGGTAGATAACATAGCATTTCAAACAAATTTGTATGCCAAGCAAAAAAACATAAATAAAAATTTTGCAACAGATTCTGAAGAGATCATGAGGTTCATAGGTATTTTGTTGTTCATGGGTATTATTCAATCACCATCAGTAGAAGACTATTGGGCAGGTTCATTTAGGATCCCCCAGGTTGCAGAAGTCTTGGGGTCTAAGAGGTTTAGGTTACTTAGACGTACTATCCATTTCAGTGACAACACACAAAAGCATAAAGAAGGCTAAAAATTGCTTCATAGACTTCCATTCTAGCAATTAGTAATATACAATGATTGCTCTTCCTCATGAATCTCAGGAATATGGGACTTGAAAGTTTTATCCCTTTGCAATGTATCCTTGTTGCTATTTCTTTCATTTTTATATTTTTCTAATACTTACAAAATGTTTTGATACAAGTTCCATTGATGTTTTTGATATTGTATGTTTGTATAATAAATTTTAAAAATAGTTATTGGGTGTTTTATTAACAATTGCAAGTTTGCAACATTCAAATTTATACTCCCATTGTCGGGCAAGGGCGAGTTTAACTGCCTTTTGCAGATTAGCAATTGCTCGGAAACTAACCATCAGAATTCCATTTATATGGCCTCATTCATCTTATATTGAGTTACTCTATCCACTCTAAAGGAGTTAAGTGTGAAATTCCATTATATCAGACATTGCCCGATAAAGGGTTAAAGGAGGGGTTTGGGATACTGGCAGTTTGGAGGGATATGTTGTGTATCTTTATACGTATATGCTTCTAAACTGTTGTATTCTGAGCACCTCTGCAAAAACAGTGATAATGTGTGAGTGTGGTGAAAGTGTTGAATGATGATTAAAGTATTTTCTTTTTGGGGATTTTCTTTCTTTTTTGGGTCACCCTGCCTCGGTGGGAGAAGGCCGACTTGTTGAAAAAAAAAAAAAAAGTATACCTGTACCTGCATGGTAGCTTGGCTGGCTACCATACATACCACACCTGATTTCTTACAATAAATACTACTCATCTCACCCTACATTAAGACTACATATATTTTAAGGTAAGTAATAATATGGGAAGTACAGTGCCTGAACTCTGAAGGAGGGGTGTTAATGTTGCAGTTTAAAAACTGTAGTGTGAAGCACCCTTCTGGCAAGACAGTGATGGAGTGAATGACGGTGAAAGTTTTTCTTTTTCGGGCCACCCTGCCTTGGTGGGAATCGGCCAGTGTGGTAATAAAAAAAATATAATAATAATAATAATAAGTAATAAGTGTACTACAGTATATGTGTATTTTACTTTTTATTGTTTTTAATGCCTAGTTCTACTGCTAACTTAATATATGTTAGTGTAAACTTGTTATCTAGTACTTATATGAATTTATAAGTGGAAAAAAAGGCGTTTCACTTTACGGCGGTAAACTGGAACCTAACCTGCTGTAGAAGTAGGGCCCTACTGTATATACAGCCTCTCCTCAATTAGCGGTAAACTGGAACCTAACCTGCTGTAGAAGTAGGGCCCTACTGTATATACAGCCTCTCCTCAATTAGCAATGTAGTACTTGTTTACCAACAACTTGGACTTACGATAGACTCTCTGACCAGTATGCATACCTAAATAATGTATATTATAGCTGATTTCCTTTATTCTGTTAAATACATGTACAGTACACTACTGTATAAACATTTAAAAATATACTGAAACTGTTACAAATGGTGCAATGGTGACATTAAAACAATATCAAAGCTGGTTGACACAAACCCACTACAATTATAATATGCTCCTTGCTTAACGACGAATTCGTTTACCGATGTGGCCTTAGGAACAGAACTCCATCGTTAAGTGAGGAAAGGCTGTATAAGGGTGTGAAGCATGAGTTGTAAATGCTGCAGCGAGGAGGTGGCTGGAGGCAGTGGAGATGTCGTGTCTAAGGGCAATATGTGGTGTAAATATTGTGCAGAGAATTCACAGTGTCCAAATTAGGAGGAGGTGTCGAGTTACTAAAAGTATTAGCCAGAGCTGAGGAAGGGCTGTTGAGGTGCTTTGGTCATTTAGAGAGACTGGAACAAAGTAGAATGACTTGGAGAGCATATAAATCTTTTGGGGAAGGAAGGCAGGGTAGGGGTCATCCCCGAAAAGGTTGGTGGGAGGGGGTAAAGGAGGTTTTGTGGGCAAGGGGCTCAGACTTCCAGCAAACGTCTGTGAGCGTGTTAGATAGGAGTGAATGTTGAGGAATGGTTTTTGGAACCTGATGAGCTATTGGAGTGTGAGCAGGGTAATATTTTGTGAAGAGTTTCAGGGAAACCGGTTAGCCAGACTTGAGTCTGGGAAATGGGACGTACAATGCTTGCACTTTTAAGGAGCAGGTTTAGGATATTGGCAGTTTGGAGGGACGTCTAAACTTTCAAATCTGAGTGCCTCTGCGAAGACAGCGATTATGTAAGGATGATGGTGAAAGTGTTGAATGACTATGAAAGTTTTTTCTTTCTTTTGGTTTTTTTCTCTTTATGGGTCACCCTGCCTTGGTGGGAAATGGCCGACGTGTTAAAAAAATGCACAAAATGCAAAGCTTGATATTAAGCCCATGGAATCAAGCAGGTGCAAGAAATGCACTTGGGATGCAATTTATGCATCAGCAATTTCACCCAATTTGAGTCCTATTTTAGGACTCAAGCCAATTCCATTTAATCCCAAGCTATTTCACTAGTACATCCTCCGTACTCTTGATTGAGTACAAAACCCTGCCCATTCAACTATCAGAACTACCCTATAAAGTGCACTAAGTTGGTAATTTGGCCAATTTCACACAAATTTAAATTTAAAAATAGACTCCAAAATAAACAGTGTAGGCATTACAGCCACTAAAACAACCTTTCCTCTATTCATTAATCATATCCCCAGGCATCTCATTTACAACACATGTCCTCCATTTTGAATCCATTAAAAAAAATTGAAGCATTATTCTATTTCTTGGATAATATAATACTGTATAACCAAGAATGATTGGTCATGGTTTAGGACGTCCAAGTAATTGAAGCAGACCTAATAAAAATGACTGGGGGCCATCCTTCATCAGCAAAATTGCCAAAAATTGAATATTTCTGCTATCTTGAGCCCTACTTCAAGTTACTAAGTCTGAAATTGACAAAAATCATCTGTATTTCATAAGTATATCTTCCAATCTATCAAATGATACCAAGAAACAGTCAATAAACCATAAAAACCACCCTAGGAAACACATGTTGCATTTTTTTTTTTTTTTTTTTTTTTTTTTTTTACAATGTGCAAACTCACTACACAGACCCATTCTCTCATGTCTATGCCAAAATGTACCACTCACAGAATATTTGAGGACAGTGTGTCAAAGGGAAGTACTGTCATTTGATACATTTGATACATTTCGCACTTACCTTCGCTTTCCTATGTGGTTCATAATATTCTTATTCCTGCAATATTTCAATTTATTAGGTCTGGTTTAAAACTGGGCCTTTAGGAATGTTTCCCATAACCATTAACAAATCACATTATCATTGTCAGCAGGTGTGCTCACTTTCCTATGACTGTATACTATAACTGACATTCTAAACTTGCAACAGGTGATACTCTAGCCATGAATGATTAAAGCACAGTGGCCCAGATGATCATTCCTTCCAGTTCCTAACAAACATTTAAAATCACACCAAAAATCTATCCATTACAATCACCATTACTGGCCACTCAATTCTCCACATTACTATGTAAAATCACGGGTTCACTATACTGTAATTAACCCTAAACTGTCCAAACGTAGATCTATGTTTGCACGCGTAGCGCTCTGAACGTAGATCTACGTTTTTTACATTGTTTATGGAGAAAATTAAGGTCGGAGTGCTACGTGCACAAACGTAGATCTACGTTTGGACAGTTTAAGGGTTAAGAGTCATAGCACAAGGGGTTTTAAAAGAAAAAACTTACCCACAAGTGGTATGCCTCGGCATTTATCCACCAGAGTTTGTGCCAATGGTGTCTTTTGATAATATTTTGGTACTTCATCCTAGAAAAAAAAAATGTATGTTATTTTTCAAGCAAGACAATACAGTAGAAATTAAAAATAAACAAAACAGATTCAATCTTGATAAAATGTGCAACCTTAAAAAATGTTCCTATTAAGATAATAAAGGAAACACAAGGCATGCACAACATGAAGTAATAATATACACTAATAGCTTGTGTGAAGATATACATAACACAAATCTGCAGCTATTAATTTTCAGCTGCAACAGCAGTTTTCAATATATAGTACTTGATCCAGCATTCCAAGTTTAAAATGTCAAGATGAAAAAGGTAACATTAATGTTTCCGCTCAATAAATCGGTTCAAACTGGGAAGAAAACACAGTCACTATTGAAGGATTAAGAGGGCTCTTATGAACCACACAGAGCACTGGGGCTCTGATACACTGCTTCAAGCTGCCGACAGGTGAAGATTCGAGGATGCTTAAACCTTTTGGTGAGTCTTTCTGCTTCTAGAATCCTCTTTTTACTTTACATTCCTTCATGAACTGACCTGAAAAGATATAAAGAAGGATACAGAAAGGCTCACCGAGACTTTCTAAAATATGTATAAAATATAAATCTACATTCTTAGCATCCAGTATGATTTAATAGTTTATTGATGCACAGAAGTGCATGCCTTGTGTTTCCTTTCATGATACTTAATATGAAACACCTAAAACATGAAGTTTAACTCCAATTTGTTCATAAATATATCAAACTACTGTACATAAATTCATCAAATACAGTAATCTTTTCTCAAGATACACCTTAGCTCAAGTTAACAAAATTTTAAATTAAGTAAAGAGCATGAGTGTGTGTGCATTATTATTTGTAGCCACAAGAACAGAGCAATGCTCATGGTGCAACTTATTTTCATTTCTCTGTCAATTTCCTAAAGTGGCTCTCAGTATAAATTGCTTAATGCCAGATGAGAATTCTCTAATACAATTTTATGTCAGGTTAAGAGTCAGTCAGGGTATGTTATATAAACCTATAAGAATGTACCTTTAGCCACAAATTAGAAAAAGGCCACAATATGTCCGGTAATATGGTGGCTAAAGAAAACCAGGAAATTTTCAAATCTTAAATGTTTATCACTCATGGTGCAAGAATGAAATGCATGGGTGATCAATCCTCGTAAGTAGGCTATTGTTGTTGTTTTTAATTCCAGTTGTTGCATCAGTTACTACCTCCTGTAACACATTCCATTTTTCCATCACTGTGAACAACTATATAGTACCCTTTCAACATATCTTCTTTCCCCCTCCCTCTCAGTTTACAAATATGGTCTCGTGTTCTTCCTATTGGTGGTGTTAAGAAATCTTCTTTATCTAGACCCCAGCAAAGTTTTAATTAACAACCAAAAAATATCCTAGGATTAATCTCCAGCTCAACCACCACCCCTTGATTGTACAAATAGATGCCCTGGAATTGTCATTCACTCTTTCACTTCATTTTTTTTTAACATTATCTCTTTAACCCTTTCAGTGTCTGTCAAGTAGAACTAGTATGTCATTGAGGTCAAGATCCTTCATACAGTTCTAGCTCATGAGCTCAGCTTACTCAGATAAGCTATGAGTGGAAAAATTTTGACCTAGATATGAGAAAATGAGTCTGCACAGTGAATATGCATAATGTGTAAAAAAAAACTGCCAAATGCAATGAAAGACAAGAAAATAAAATTCTGACCATGCACTTGGTTTAAAATAGTGACTGAGTTGCTTTCTAGGACTGCTTTTATGCAAGACATACTACTGAAACAGATATGATTTTAACTGGTTTCAGGTCCAAAAGTAGCTTAAAACTGGGCACAAAGTTTCTCTTTAGGATACACAAGGCCCCCCCCCCTACACCCTCTGTCTCTTCACCTCTCTTTTACTCTCCATATACTCCACCCTTTTTATATCGCTTCTGCTTTGTAAAAATCTCTCATAATCAACCTTTTTGTCTTTTATCACACCCTTTAGCTCATCATTCCACCAATCACCCCTCTATCCTCCTGCACCCACCCTCCTATAGCCACAAATTTGTGCTCCAAATTCTAACACTACCTTTTTAAAACTATCCCACCCCTCTTTAACCCCCACACTACCTATACTCTCATTAGCCCACTTTTCTCCCAATAGCTGCTTATATCTCACCCTAACTGCCTCCTCCCTTGGTTTATAAACTTTCACCTCTTCACCATTTTAATTTTCTTCCATCTACCTCTTAATCGAACTGTAGCGACAATCAAATAATGATCTGATACATCCGTTGCCCCTCTATAAATATGCACATCCTGAAGTCTACCCATCAACCTTTTACCCAACAATACATACTCTAACAAACTACTTTCATTATGTGCTATATCATATCTTGTGTACTTATTCTCTTTTTTTTATAATATGTATTACTTATTAACAAACCTCTTTCTGTACAAGTTCAATTAAAGGCCTTCCATTTTCCCCTGGCACCCCAAACTTGCCTACTACTCCCTCCACAACAGTTTTACTCACTAGCATTTTGGTCGCCCACCACAAGTATACCCTCTCACTTGGTTCAAAACTTCCCATGCAATCACTTAGCATCTTCCAAAATCTCTCTCTCTCCTCTACACTTCTCTCTTCTCCAAGTGCATAAACACTTACTATAACCCACTTTTCACATCCCACCCTTATTTTACTCCACATAATCCTTTAATTTATACATTTATTTATATAGTGGACCCTCGGTTATTGGCCATACTCCATTCCAGAAGGCCGGCCTAAAATCAAAATAATATTTCCCATAAGAATTAATGTAAATTCAATTAATCCGTTTCAGACACCCAAAAATATTAATAGAAAATGTATTTTTTGAAGATTAATTTTACTTTTACATACACAAAAATGAGAATTAAATAAAATGACTAATGAAATGGATAAATGAGCATTTAAATCACTTTTACCTTTATTGAAGAATCTTGTTGGCGTATGTAAAACGGCGAGGAGGGGAGAGGGAGGCGAGTATATTATGGAGACAGAACAAAATGCTTAAATATGACACTATTATCAACTCTACGGCCTACTTATCAATCAAAATTCATTTAACCCTTTCAGGGTCCGTCCCGTAGATCTACGGCTTTACGTTCAGGGTCCAAACCGTAGATCTATGTCATGAGCTCAGCTCACTCTGATAAACTGTGAGTGGTACATTTGGGCCTAGATATGAGAGAATACATCTATGTGGTATGTGTGCAACACATAAAACAGATCCTGCAGCACACTGTGTATGAGAGAAAAAAACTGAAATCATGATTTTTCGATTAAAACAGCGACTTTGCAGTGTTTTTTCGTATGTTTTTTATAGTTGTATTTGCGATTTCTTGGTCTCATTTGATAGAATAGAAGACATATTACAGAAATAGAGATGATTTTGATTGGTTTTAGCACTGGAAATGGCTTGAAACTGAGCTCAAAGTAGCAGAAATGTTAAATTTTTGCCGATATTCAAGAGTAAACAAACGACCTCACACGTCTAATACACTCCAGCTGGTGGGTCTAATATGCATTCACAAATATGGTGATGATATTTATACAATTATTACAGTATTGCATAACAGTAAATCTTCTATTTTTCGGTGTGAATAAAAAATCAAAATGGAATTTATTTGTATTATTATTATAATCAAAAACAAGCGCTAAGCCACAAGGACTATACAGCGCTGCAGGGCAGGAAGGAAGCGAGCGCATCGGGTGGCAAAAGGGAGATGGATGAGTAATAGGTTACGGATAACAGCGGGGCAGTGGATGGTGAAAGGGTAAAGGGCAGCAAGAGACTGAACTAGAAAGGGCTGAGGGGAGTGCGAAAAGTATCATCAGAGTTTGTGGAGTAAATCAGTCGTTGTCAGGAAGTCAATGAGAGAGTCAGGATTAAAGGAGGGTCCATCAGCAAGAAGGGAAGGTAAAGAGAGAGTAGTAGAACAAAGACGACGTTGGAGGTAAATTCTGCGTGCTCGTTGATAGAGAGGGCAGTCTAACAGAATGTGGCTAATCGATACTGGAACTTGACACTGCTCACAGAGAGGAACAGGGTGCCTCTCCATGAGATACCCATGAGTAAGACGAGTGTGACCAATGCGAAGGCGGGGAGAGAGTGGTCTCCCAACCTCGGCACTGATGACAAGAAGACGGCCAGTAACCTATGCTCGGTTTAATAGAATGAAGTTTGTTACCGAGCAGAGTTGACCAACGTTGTTGCCAACGGGTGTGAAGGTGGGTAGCTATTGCAGCAAAATAGTCCAGAAATGGAACACCTCGACAGGAAATTGGTAGGTCATGTACTGCTGACCGCGCAGCAGTGTCTGCCTGTTCATTGCCCTGTACGTCGACATGACCAGGGACCCAACAAAAAACAATATCTTTATGTTTGGTAGAGATATGGCGTAGCCAAAGTTGGACACGGAGAACTAGGGGATGAGATGTATCAAATTTTCATATAGCCTGTAGAGCACTAAGGGAGTCTGAGACTACTACAAATGATGACACAGGCATAGATGCGATACGAATAAGTGCTGCAAGAATGGCATACAGTTCAGCAGTAAAAATGCTAGCTGAAGATAGTAAATGTCCCCGCACGACGCTGTCTGGAAACACTGCTGTGAATCCGACGCCGTCTGAAGACTTAGAGCCATCTGTGTACACAGCGGTGGCATGAGAATGGGAGTGGAAGTGATCAAGAAAAAGAGAGCGGGAAGCCACCGTAGGCAGTTGAGCTTTCGAGCAAGGGAGTGAGAAAGAACAGACCCGAACAGCTGGAACTTCCCAGGGGGGTAGGGAAAAGTGAGATGCTACATGAACATATAAAGGTGGTAACTGAAGGGAAGACAAGAGTGAATGTAGGTGAAGAGAACAGGGACGGAGCAAACAGGGGCGGCGAACGAATAAAGAATGTCTACTAATATCGGTGACCATTCTATAAATGGAAGGATTGTGTAGATCGTGAGAGCGTACATAGTAGCGAAGGCAATGGGCATCAC